AATTGATAGGAAGTTGGACAGAGTGCTCATAAACAACACTTGGCTTACACAGATCGTTGATTCTGTAGTTGAGTTTCTCCTGCCTGAAGTTTCTGATCATTGCCCTGCCTTAATAAAGTTGAATGTGCCTAGTTAGTCACCACCAAAACCATTCAAGTTTTTAATTTTTGGACAAAGCATCCGAATTTCATGTAGTTGGTAGTAAATTCATGGAGGCAACCAAAGGAAGGTACAACAATGATACGGTTGCATAGGAAGCTTAAGAGGTTGAGGATGGTATTGAGGAAGTTTAACTTCTCTTAATTTGGTGACTTAGTTGAGAAAGTTAAAGTAAAAAAAGGCTGAACTGGCAGAGGTGCACAGTGCTAGACTGAACCAAGATTTCAATATGGATATGGCAAAAGAAAAAGAGCTTCAGTTAGAATTGCTAGGACTATTACAGGCAGAGGAAAGCATGTTAAGACAAAAATCAAGAATCAGATGGATTCAAGAAGGAGACCAAAACATAGGGTTTTTTCACAAAATGGTGATTGTTAAGCAAAATAAAGGCACGATAAAGGTGTTGTATGATAGGGAAGGGAATAGACTGGAAACACTTTCAAAGATATCTGAGGAGGCTATTGGTTTCTTCAAGCATTTATTAGGTACTGTTGATGAGAATGTAATAGGTTGCTCTAAAGAATTGCTTGCAAATATCCTACAAGTCACTCTGTCAGAGGAGAATCAGGTAAAGATATCTCAAGATGTAACCAGGGAAGAAATTCAACAAGGTATCTTTTCACAGCATAGTGATAAGGCACCAGGCCTTGATGGGTACAATGCGCACTTTTTCAAAACTATATGGAATATTGTGGGGGATGATGTCACTGATGTTATCCTGTAATTTTTTTCAAACTAATGACTTACTACCTGCTTTTAACTCCACCATCATTGTTTTGGTACCAAAAACTCAAACTCCAGGAAGTATATCAGACTATAAGCCCATTTCTTATTGCTCAGTCATTTATAAATGCATTACTAGAATCTTGGCAAATAGGCTACAACAATATTTGTCACACCTCATCAGCAAAAGTCAAAGTGCCTTCATTAAAGGAAGAAGCATAATAGACAATGTGCTTATGGCCCAAGAACTGGTAAGGGAATATAGTAGAGCAACACTTTCTCCTTGATGCGCAATAAAAATAGACCTAAAGAAAGCGTTTGATTCCTTAAATTGGGAATTTCTAATAAATTTTCTATTAGCTATAGGGTTTCCAAAATATTTGTAGGATGGATTAGAGTTGTCTAACTACTCCAAGATTTCTTTATCCATCAATGGGGGGCTGGTAGGCTACTTTCAAGGTGCAAGAGGCATCAAGCAAGGGGACTGTATGTCACCTTATCTATTTGTTATAGCAATGAATGTCTTATCGAGGCTCTTGGATGCAGCAGCACATTATGAGGTTATTTCTTATCACCCAAAATGCAAGAAGATAAGATTGATGCATTTATGCTTTGTTGACGATCTGCTAATCTTCACAAAAGGGAAGTTGGATTCCATCTCTGGGATACAATAGGTGCTACAATTATTTTATTATATTCAAGACTTCAATTTCATTGCGAGAAGAGTGAACTATTTTCCATAGGTGTGCCAAAAAGGGCATTATAAGAAATAGTGCAGGTGACATGATTCAAACTAGGCACGCTCCCTGTAAGATACCTTAGAGTTTCATTAGTTACATGAAAGATCTCCATAAAGGATTGTACTCCACTAACAGAGAAGATAACAACAAGAATACGTAGTTGGGCAGCAAAAAATTTATCATATGCAGGTAGATTGCAGTTGATACAATCGGTCATATTTAGCATTCAAAGCTACTGTTGTAGACATTTTATGCTGTCACAGAGGGTTATCCGAAAGGTAAGACAGCTATGTTCAAGGTACTTCTAAAAAGGGCAGCATGAATTAGCTAAAAAGGGCAAGGGTTAAATGGCAAACTCTATGTAGGCCTAAATCCGAAGGGGGACTCGGGTTAAAAGACTTGTTCATTTGGAATCAGGCTTGTATGGTTAGAAATCTATGGTCTATTTTCTCACAAGTAGGTTTATTGTGGATTGCATGGGTGCACAGTTATGTGCTTAAAGAGCACAACATATGGGAGGTGCCTATTACACAAAGTAGCAGTTGGAGCATGAAAAAACTATTACAAATAAGGAGACATGCCACTCAATTGCAAACAAAGGAAGGCATGGGATGGAATTGGGGGAGGAACTGGGAACTCGGTTACAGCTATATGGGAAGAATTGAGACCGAAACAGATGAAGGTAATGTGGCACAGACTTATATGGTACAAGTTGCATGTACCAAAACAAGCAATCATAGCTTGGATGGCAATATTAAATAGACTCCCTACCAAGGATAGATTGAACGCATGGGGGATTACAAATGAAACAGGCTGTGTGCTATGCAAACAAGAGGATGAGTCTAGGAGCCATATCTTCTTTAGTTGCAATTACTCTAAAGCTGTGTGGAAATAGGTTTTACGGCTCTGCTACTTACATAGAGGGGTATCTGGTTGGGAAGAGGAATTCCATTGGGCTGTAAGCAGGTTGAGAGGGAAGGCACTAATATCTACCATTTTGAGACTGGCATGGGGTGCATACATTTATCTGATTTGGAGTGAAAGGAATAAGAGGCAGTTTGCTGCTGCGGAAAGTAATGGACAGATCCTTAGAATGATAAGAGAAGTGATACAATTGAGACTGATGGGGCCGGAAAATATTGCTTTTGATAGAGTAAATAAAGATTTACGTGAGAAATGGGGTTTAAGAAGGGATACATTTGTATAGAAGCCAGAGTGACAGATGGAATTATATGAGTTGTTTATTGGTAGCAGTGAATTACTATCTTAGGCGATGAAATTACAAATTATCCAAAAAAAAAAAAACCAAAAGCATAAGAAAACGTTTCTTCACCGATTGCACGATTAGAATATCCAAACCAACCTTTGCAAGCAAAGCATATAACCAAACCTTGTTTGCTCGTCTTTGCCTATGACCAACCATAGCAATTATATAACCAAACCTTGTTTGCTTGTCATTGCCTATGACCAACCATAGCAATTCTTCCTTTCTCTAGGCTTTGTCAACTATTACCATCAAATCATTGCTTAAAAAGTTAGGCTTGGTTCAGGAGAGTCATCTGAAACCAAGGAAAATTTGATGAAGCTGATGATATAATTCTATTTTCTTTTTGATAGAGGAAATTGGAATTTCATATATCAAACAGCAAGCAGATAACATAGGTAATTCTATTATCTCAGGCAACATTATAAAATGCATTGGCATTTTTCTCCTTTACTTTTTTGTCTAAATGCTAATTTTAAGATCTAATGCGAGCCAAATTTATAAAGTAAATGTCCATTTTGTGATCTAATTTGTTAGTAAATTACCATTAATATTGGTTTGTAAAAAAAAAATGGTTCTATTTATTTCTATGGAAGTCAATATTTTTATTACTTTTTCTCTTTTCCTTTGGAAAGTAGAATACAAATAATGTACATGCAATAACTTTCAACACTGTTTAATAAGACCAATAGCTGATTGAATTCCCCTATGCCTTTTGTTTCAGACATAGGAATACAGGCATTAATGCACTAATGCGTATAGAACTGAATCCACAATGAAACATCAAATAAGAAAAAAGAAAATAGATGTGTAGATAAACTTTGAGCAAAAGAAGATTAAAAATATATATGTTTTCAGGCAACTTTCTTTTGACTGTGTATAAGATGTTGATGTACTTAGAAATCTTCTGTTGTGTAATCGTCTTTTCAGCTTATATTGTGTAATGTTTTCTGTTGTTGATTCGGTTGGTTGGTTGTGTCTCCTGTTGGAAATTGCTTAAGGGAGGCAGGGTGGAGGTTGGCGGTACGAGTGGAAGTAGGCTTATAACAGTCTGATGGTACTGGTCTTTGGGACTATGTTTCCTGGTCTTTGGGATTGTGTTTTTACTGTTGCTGGGTTGTAACGGTGGTGGTGGTTAGGCTCTGGAGGGGGTTTTAGGCAAGTGCTTAAATCACTAACTTTTAAAGTAATGACGTCACCAAACTTCAATCTAGAGGCATAAGTCTTTGATGTTGTTTGATCGTGGTTAAATTTATAGATATAGTTATGTTTTTGTTAAATATTATAGTCAAATCGTCGATTCTATATTCAAATTTTTTAAGTTTTTAAAAATTTTTGAAAATACAAATTCAAAAACTTTAAAAATTTTCTAAAAATGCAAATTTCAAGTTTTTGAAAATACAAAACCGAAAACTTTATTTTTGGAAAGCACAAATTTTTAATTGAAAATCGACGTTTAAATAACTTAAGCATCATTTATTTGGCATTGTTCGTCTCAACCAAAATTTTTTTCTAATCTGACTTTCTATTTTGACAATGTACAAGAAAAATAATGTATTTTTAAAGACTTAAGGTTTGTGATTGAAAAATGTAGGAAGGAAAGGAAGAAAAAGAACAAGAAAAAGAGAAACAAGAGTAGAAAATGGTGTATGAAGGGCTAGAAGGTAAATTAATAAGGTATTTAAATAATTTTATTTAAGGTCAATTTTATAATAAAAAATTTGAGTGTGAAAAAAATTATTGGAGTTTATTTAAAAGCAATCCCAAAAATATCTTTTTTAATGAAAAGAATATTTTTTTTGATATCCACATCAAATATGAAAATAATAGAAAGTCGACATGCACAATGGATAAATTTATTAATTTAAAATATAACATAGTAATATAATATAAAATAATACAAAAAAAAAAAAGAAGAACCGGTTTAGAATTTTGATATACTAATTCATATGTGGTAGGCTTACTTAAGTGGTAGACACAAATCTTTCCTTAAGTGGTAGCTTTTCTCTGTTTGGGTCATATTAATTCATTGTGATTGGCTTACTTTTGAAAGTTTGGCATTTCTATTTGTAATAATAATTAATCTGGTTTGGTGCAATTCGCAGAAGAAAGTGATGGCGGACGACGTTGTTTCGATTAACATAACTGAAACGATTACAAGAACAAGATTATCCCCAATACAACCTGAACGTTCCATTTGCAAAGTCCCTAATTATCTTCGAAAGGTAGATGAGACGGCCTATGAACCATTGCAACTTGCAATCGGTCCTTACCACCGCGGTATGTTTCACTTAGAAGCAATGGAAGAGCTTAAGTTTCGGTTTCTTCAAAAGCTACTGGAAGAAAGAGAGGAGATCAATGATGTCTCAAAATATGTTAAAGCAATGAGAGAATTAGAGACAAAAGCTCTCAATTGCTATGCAGACCCTGCAAATCTTGAATCAGATGGTTTCGTAAAAATGATGCTCCTCGATGGTTCCTTTATTGTTCAGCTAATTCGGATGAATTTTGACATTTCATTGAGGGTGGCCAATGACCCATTTTTAAGGTGGATGGTTTGTGTTTCTCCTTACGCCGTGATTTGTTATTACTTGAAAATCAAATTCCCTTCTTTGTTGTATTGGAGTTACTTGGGATAATTGGGATTTCTGATAAAAAAGATTTCACTAGAAAGATTTTGGGATTCTTGGAGTTCACATTACCAGATTTAAGGTTATTGAAAGTTGGTGTAAAGTCGATCGGTGAAATCAGACATCTACTGGACTTGATACATGAATACTGGCGTCCTTCACCTGTAGAAATTGAGGCCCGTCGAAATATCGAAGAAACGGATACCAGGCTCACACGTTGTGCCACGGAACTCAAAGAGGCTGGAATCAAGTTTAAAAAGGTGAAGGGCGAGAGCTTGTTTGATATTAAGTTTGAAAAAGGGACTCTGAAAATCCCAACCTTGAACATCGATGACGACACAAACTATTTGCTTCGAAATCTCATTGCCTTGGAGCAGCTTTTCCCTGCGGAGATATAAATCATATCACGGATTATGCCATATTTATGGACTGTCTTATTAACTCTGCAAAAGATGTGGAAACGCTCACACACTATGGAATTGTTGACAACCTTTTAGGTGATAATGAAGCAGCTGCTACCATGTTTAATAGGCTTGGTGACTCAATAAACTACTCCTCCTTAACCTACTCCTACCGTGAAGTACCTGACAAAGTGAACGCATATTGCAGAAGACGCAGGAACAAATGGCTTGCCAACTTGAATCACAACTATTTCAACAGTCCTTGGGCACTTATTTCCGTTCTTGCTGCTACCGTTATCCTTCTACTTACACTCATGCAAACCATATTTTCTGGAATTGCTCTTTCTACGTAAGAAAATATACTCTCTTCTATTATGTACTATATATTATAAGCAAATTATTGAAAATACTTTTTAAAATACAATTATTTGCTATGAGTGATGTGAACTTATTATTACAAGTTAGTACTACTTATCTTCTTTGTAATATTTGTTTAAGAGTGATTTGAAAGTAATTGATTATTGCCTGCTGCTTTTTCCTAAGACTTGATCTTGCCATTTTGTTTTACTTTATTTTTTATTTTTTTTCTTTGAAAAGTAATTTAGGAATGCAGGGTACCTTCTAACCATTTTTTTAATCTAAATATTCTATTAGTTGTAAATTATATTTCATGCAGAGATACTTCAGAGTTTATCACCATTAGCAGAAAAGTTTAGCATTTCAAAAATGCGAAATTAGAAGGTTTATTGTATTGTGTTTGATTTATGATTTATCCATCAAATTTATTGTTTAGTAGATCCATTATATTTTTTATCATATATATATGTAATTTTCTCACCGCAATTTAGTGTGCCCTGTTTGAAATTTGAATTAATATTTTATTCAAAATTCTTTTCAATTTAATAATTTATTGATATACATTTTGAATTTCAATTTTTTCTATTCGGTTTTAGAATTGAAAAATGCTATTCAATTTAACATTTTCAAATAAAGTGTGACCTAAATAGAGATTATAATAAATGATTTATTGTAAGATGAGGAATAAAAAAAAAAAAAACAGAACAATTAAAACAATATAAGAAAAGCTATTTTGCAAGCTGGCCGAATGAACTATAATCTTTAGAAAATTTTGTGAAGATATGTATATACCAGATAAATTCTAAAAGCTATTAGATGTGAGGTCGTTTTCCCCTCAACAAAGCAAAAACTGAATACATGTAAGAGTTGGCAGTTACTTGACATAAGGGAGAACTGAAAATAAAGTTTGCACCTTAGTAAGTAGAAGGAGGACAACAGCAGCAAGAATGGAAACAAATGCCCAAGGGCTGTTAGAATAGTTATGCTTCAAGTTGGCAATCCATTTGTTCCAGCGTCTACTGCAATAAATGTTGACGTTGTTGAAAACTTCAGAGTAAAAGGAATAACGGGATATGCTTACAGAGTCACCCAGCATATTAAACATGGTGGCAATCACTTCATCATTGCCTAACTAGTTATCAGTAATCCCTCGCTGATGGAGCAATTCCACATCTTTTGGAGAGTTGATCAGGCAGTGCATGAAGTTCATATAATCAGTGACATGATTCAAACTTCTTCTGGGGAAAAACTGCTCGAAGGCAATCAGATTCCGGGGAAACATTCTGTATGGTCGTCAATTTCCAAGGTAGGTATCCTCGCAGTCCCATTTTCGAACTTTATGTTGAAAATGTTGTTTCCTTCAGCCTTTTTGAACCTGATGCTAGCCTCCTGGAGTTCTGTCGCACAATGCATGAAGCTCCACTCGATCTTTCTAGTCTTTTTCCTATAGGCCTCGATTTCAAATGCAGGAGGATGCCAGCAGTCAATTATCAGGCCTAGCAGATGCTTGATCTCCATGATTAATTTAAGTCATTTTGAATACACCCTTTACCTGGTAAGATAATTTTGAAGAAATTTATGGTTATGTATATGAATATATCTGGAATAGGAATCTCAATAATATGAAACGACTCCCGAAGAACAGAGAGGGGAAGTTGATTTTCTACCAATAACAAATCACGACATAAGATAACATGGAAACAACCTATCTTAAAAACAGGATCATCCATCAATGTGGTCATAGCAAACTTGCCCAGTAGCTGAATAATAAGGCAACTATCAAGGAGCATCATTTCAACGAAATCATCGGTGTCAGACCTATAGGTTTTGCATAGCATTTTCTAGCTCTCT